CCCCGTTCAGGCCCAAGAAGAGAGCCCAACCTTAATGAAGCATGCATAAGCTGGAGGCCAAGGGCTCGCAGATCGAACCCATACAGGAACAAAAATGGTATTTAGATTTTAAGAAGCATCAGGACTGAATTAACGGCAAACTACATGCAAGCAGATTTTATGCAAGATAAATCCTCATTCAAAACAAACTACGACTAAAACTTAAATTGTCCAGAATTAACATTACAATATGTACTAAACTATTAAACCTCTATCAATCTTAACATATATATCAAAACATTTCATTACTAGTCATACTGAACCTCAAGGAACAAACCTTGACTTTGTTTGGTATGGAATCAGAATGGTAATCTAGACATGGTTACTATCATTCACTGTATCTTTAAATCCAAACTAACTTTCCAACATTAGATCCAATCATATAGTACTCAGACGCCAGCAAACAAATCAAAACAAGCCTAAATGTCATTGCCAATAAAAACCAAAGCATTTCTTTCACCTATAGCCAATTTCACACAAAGTTGATAACTAGACAGAAGAATCAAACCATTTAAAAACTTCGATTTCATACTAGGACATCCTATTCATGATCAATATACTAATCAGAACCTTTCTAAAGCTAAATATTACACCTAACATGAGATTGAAAGAAGGAGAAATGAGATTCAATAACAAATAACATCAGCTTTCATCACATTTCCAGATCCAAACTTCAGATTACACTTAAGTGATATCCATAGTGCTGAAAATACCTGGAAATAGAAGGGAAACAAAAGAAGTACAGAATCAGTAGATAGCAGCAGCAGAACAACAATGGAATAGTGTTGGAATCATCCAATTAGCCCTAAGGAACTCAAGCTAGAACAGCAACCAGACAGTACTCCACACAAACAAGCCCAAACCAAACTTTCAAACCCCCAAAAATCAAACCATTTTCAATCAGACGCAGGAATTTGAAGTTTTCAGAAGTTCTAACTAACAAGGAAGATCAGCAAATCAAAACTGAACAGAATTTCAAGTAGTTTTCAACCAAGAAATGCAGGAAAATTCAATGTTATTTCAGAATTATCTCCAGGCTTAGCCGTTTCAACTTTTCAGAATTTTTTTTCTCCAAATCTGACTTGCTAGTGAAGTAAGAGTGCCTTTATAGGCAATGTTTTAGTGCTGCAGAAATGAACTAAGTTTTGCACCTAAAACCTTTTCAAATTTTCATTTTTGCTAAGGTACCTCTAGCTTAAAATCAGTATTTTCAGTAAAGTCCTAAAGGCACCTTCCTAGCAGCTTCCTAAATCAGTTATAAAGATTCTTTTCACCTAGAATTCCCAAATTAACCTTTAAACCCTTGCTTTTTTCCTCTGAAACCAGACCAGATATGGGTCAAGTTGACCCAATTCAAAGTGCTATGGGTTTGTAAATCCAGGTCGAATCCCCTTTCGGGCTTTATGATCTTAGAAGTCAAATTCAAATCATGAGACCCAAATTTAATTAGCCCAGCATGGGTTTCCCAAGGGGAAATTCAGAACTTCTTTTATTAAAAACCGAAAAAAGATGAAATAACACCAAAGAAAACAAAGAAATTAAAACAAATATGAACTATTAACTTACTTTAAAGCATGCAAGCAGAAAATGATTCAAAAATGAAAATAATAGAAATAAACAGAAAAAACGAGGCGAGAAAATGAAGACGGGGAACTTTAAACTAAGCAACAAGAAGAAGAAAGATGGAAGGAAGGAAAAAGAGAGATGAAAATACCTAAGGAAAAGCCGGGACAAATCTCGAAATCACCCCTCAAGCCTTCGATTTTGACCGAAATGGGTCTTAATCATGCGTTCTCAGACGAAAACACATGAACAAGGTCAATTTCGGCCTCAATCTTCACTAAACTCACATGATTTGAGTTTGTTTTGGGAATTTAGGGTTCATGCTTTGATTTAAGATTCGACGAGTTCTGTGAGGATTCGAGGGAAACCGGTTGTAGATTAGGGGAGTGGGAGCCATGGGGGTTCTACGGTGTTAATTTGGGGTGGTTTGGAGGTGGCGCCACCGGCACAAGGCGGTGGAGAACCAAGGCGGTGCTAGGGTTTGTGTCGTCTCTGAATGAGGGGTGAGATGAGAGAGATGAGTTGGAGAGGGGGGGTAGGCTTAGGACAGTTAAATATTAAAAGTGACCCAGTTCCGGACCTTTTGATCAACTGAGATCAATAGTCCATATTGAAAATGACTGAGACGGGGTCGTTTGGTAACTGAGCGGGGTCGTTTGGTAACTGAGCGGGGTCGGACCGGGCAGAGGGACAGGTTTGGGCTTGATTTGAACGGGTATTTGAGGGAAATGGTTTGGGCTTGGGGAATTCAAATTAAAATGGCCCAGAATCTGATTTCATTCTTTTATTTCCCTTTTTTATTTGCAATTTCTTTTCTAAATTCTTTTTAAATTAAAAAATAAAACCTAAATTAATTCCTAATCAAATTATCCTATCAAATTAAACTAACTCTAAATAACAATTACCATAAATAATTGAATACCAAATCAAAAGAAAAACTCCCAAAATTCGAAACTCAAATTAAAAATACAAAAATGAGTTATTTTTTGTGATTTTCCATTTTGTAAAACACTAATTTACAAATTAATCGAAAAATTTAAAATTAAGTCCTAAATGCAAATGCAATGTATTTTTGTATTTTTTTATGATTTAAATAAAATTAAACATGCACAAAAAATGCAAACAAACAGAAAAAAATTCTATAATAATTCTTAAATAACAAATAATTAAAAGGTAAACTCTAATTTTGGGAATTCTGTAGGAGTAATTCATGTGAGGCAAAAATCACGTGCTCACATTGGGTCATCACATATATGTGTACTGTAAAAAAATTGAAGACTAACTGCTTATAATTTGTAGTTAAAATAATGAGAAATATTCCATTAAACGTATATTGTCTATCCATATACAAGAAAAGAGGTCTTTAACGACCACTTCTTTACGATCGAAAGTTAATCCAGTCGTTATAGGTATACTTATAGTGGCCAATATTTATTCCGGTCGTTAAAGTCATTTCTTACTGTATTTTTTACGAGGGAATAATTTTCGGTCCTTCAAGTCAATCCCCTCGTTAAAATCTGAATAAAACGAAAAAAGGAGCGCTCATTTTTCCCTCCTTTTTTTTTTTTTACTAACTATCAGCGCATAACCCCCAAATTTAAAGAAAAACCCTACAATCTCTCACTCTAGCTAATGTTATCCCAAAACGTACAACAGATTCAGCAAAAAAAGAGGAAAAGAATCACAAACAAATAGCGCTCGCTGCAACTGTCCACTGCTCGATCGGAGAAATTCTCAAGTGATTAACACTATATATACAGAGCAAAACTCAACAAATAATCACAAAAAAAATCTGGTCTTCTTGCTGTACGTAGCTTATAATTTGTTTTCTCTGGTGAATCTGTGTCAACGCTAATAGCTGGGTTCCGTTCTCCTTCTCCTCAAGGTAAACTCAAATCGCTAAACTTGTATGCTCAAGCAATAATACCATTGTAGTCTGTTAATTTTACTGCCTACATACTAATATTTAATGAACCTCCACCTTTACGAGCAACAGAGTGTATAGAAATTACAGATAACAGAGCATAGGGTTCTACTTCTGGGAACTTATCATTCCGTCTTCTCTTTAATGCTTGTGATGTTAGGATGTTAAATGCTTGTGATGTTAGGATGTTAAAAGATTTTCTTCAACTGATTTCTCCCGTAGGAAAATGGGTTAAGAGAATTAATTTTGGATCATGGAATCTTTGTCTATGATATTGCCACATTAGCTATAATTATTGTGAAATTGGGTCATTGATCTCTTTACTTTTCAAATATTGGATTTCTTCTTAGAATTACATGTATATTTTCCAGATTTATAGTTACATCGACACCCTTTATGGAGAGGCTTCTTGCAGTACCTCTGTTATTTGTTTGCTTGCTGGAATATTTGGATTTAAGAATCAAACAAGTTTGTAGGGATTAAATTTACCTCATAATTTGTAATAATATGTGTTTAGATGTGGTGTTCCTTAGATCTTTACTGATTAGTTCCTGAAAACCTCTTCTTGTGACCATTTGTTATCAAAGCAATCTCCAGAAACATTATCACAAAATATTAATGTATTATTTCAGCAAGATTCATCAGAGAAACTCGATGTACCAATAAAAATAATATGCTAGTGGGATAAAAATAGCAAGGCCTGATGTTGTATTTTTTTAAATAAAATTATTTTGCCTTTTGTTATTGTAAATAATTACTACAGAAGAGAAAACTTATTCGACTAGTTCTCTGAAAAGTTCTTTTCTATTTAATTTAATGAATTGAAGTATTATTTTCTTATCTTACCTAGAAGATGATGTTCTGCCAAATAAAGTTGAGCTATATTTCTTGCTAGCCCTTTAATTTTAATTCCAAGAAATAGAAGTTGTTATATGATCATTCCAAGAAATAGAAGTTGTTATATGATCATTGTTCTGTTTCTATAATATTTCTTAGTGATGTTTGTATTCATTATTGTAAAAGTTGTTAGATGATGATTGTTTTGTTTCTAAAGCATTGATCGTGGCTGTGATACTTTAGAAAGCTCACATATGTAACCTCTGTTTGCTTTAACTTTAGATTTTTCAATCTGGATTAGGGATTTAAAAGCCGATACGATGATTATTATCGATTTTGCTTTAGTATATTTCTACTAAATACTAGTTGAAGTATTTGATTATTTGTTGGCTTGTTGAATATATGTTTACTTCTATCTAATACATATATTTTAATCACATATGCATATATATTACACATGTACCAGATTATGGCACATGATAAGAAATGGATGGAACTTGTCCATGACCGACTTGGTAATGCTTACAAGCCTGGGGTGGACAACTTTTTGGATTTTGCTTTTACAAGATTAAGTGAAGCGCGTGTAATACGTTGTTCATGTATCTGATGTTATAACACATCTTCGGGAACACGTGAGATGGTTAAGTCACATTTAATAGTACATAGAATAATTCAAAACTATACTTTTTGGTATCACCACGGGGAAAAGTTAGGTGAGCCACAATCAACTCCTGAAGATGTAGAAGATGATGACGTTGAAGGAGTTGATGATGAGGATGAAATACATGGGATCCTAAGAGATTTATACCCTGATTTTGATGCCGATAATACTAACACTGATGGTGATGATTTTCTTGAGGAGGAACCAAATCTTGATGCAAAAAAATTCTATAGGCTTTTAAAGGATTATGAGCAACCATTGTACCAAAATTCAAAAGTTTCTAAACTTTCTACTATGGTTAAATTGCTTCATATCAAAAGTATTGGGCGTTGGAGTCATGAGTCATTTACAATGTTGTTGAACATGTTGAAGGAAGATCTATTGCCTGACGAATCAAACTTGCCAGATTCATATTATGAGGCAAAGAAGATAATTCGGGATCTTGGACTTTCTTACAGGAAGATTGATGCGTGTAAGAATAATTGCATGCTATACTGGAAGGATGACAAGTTTCTTGAATCTTGCAAAGTTTGTGGAGTATCTAGATGGAAAGAGGATAAACATAGTGGAGAAACTAAATTTATGAGCGGGAAAAAGATAGCGCACAAGATTTTACGTTATTTTCCCTTAAAGCCAAGACTCCAAAGATTATTTATGTCCTCAAAGATATCATCTTTAATGACATGGCATCATGATAAAAGAGTTGACGATGGAATAATGAGGCACCCAGCTGACTCAATGGCATGGAAAAAGTTTGATGAACTTCACCAATCTTTCACCGATGAACCTCGTAATGTTCGACTTGGACTTGCTAGTGATTTCAACCATTTGGAAGTTCTAGAACTCCGTATAGCGTTTGGCCTGTTGTACTTATTCCTTATAATTTACCACCTTGGCTATGTATGAAGCAAGAGAATTTTATTTTGTCGATGTTTATTCCTGGTCCTGAAAGTCCAGGAGACGCAATTGATGTTTATCTTCAGCCTTTGATGGATGAATAAAGGAATTATGGGAAACTGGAGTGGAGACCTTTGATACGTCAACTAAACAGAACTTTATGTTGCATGCAGCTTTATTATGGACCATCAATGACTTTTCGGCTTATGCAAACTTATCTGGATGGAGTACAAAAGGAAAATTGGCTTGCCCATGTTGCAATAAAGAAACATCCTCAATTAGGTTAGAAAATGATAAAAAGCAGTGTTATATGGGTCATAGGCGCTTTCTTCCTCTTAATCACAAATGGAGGAATGATAAAGAGTCATTTGATGGCACTAAGGAGCGAAGACTACCACCCGAAATTTTATCCGGTGAGGATATACTTGATCAAGTGGCTGATTTGGATGGTTTACCACTAACAAAGGATCCAAAGAAAAAGATTAAAATATCACATGAGAGTAGGGGTGATAATTGGAATAAGAAGAGTATTTTCTTTGATATTCCCTATTGGAAAACTCTATTGTTGCGACATAATTTAGATGTGATGCATATTGAGAAAAATGTATGTGACAATAATTTGAGGACAATCTTAAATGTCAAAGGAAAAACCAAAGATACCATAAAAGCTCGATTAGATTTGCAAGCAATGAACATAAGGAAAGAATTGCGTCCAATTAAAAATGGGGATAAATATGAGCTACCAACAGCATTTTACACGTTATCTCCTGAAGAGAAGAACAAATTTTTCAGATTCCTAAAGAACTTAAAGGTCCCAGATGGATATTCATCAAATATATCTCAGTGTGCCAACACTAAAGATCGCAAAATTTCAGGCCTAAAAAGTCATGATTGTCATGTTCTTCTACAACATTTACTTCCACTTGCTATACGTGGTATGCTTTGCAAATCTGTATGTGAACCTCTTATTGAGTTGTCTTTATTTTTCAACTTGCTTGGAGCAAAATGTTTAAGAATGGATGAGTTAGAACAGATAGCAGCTCAAATTCCTATAACTCTGTGCAAGTTAGAAAAGGTATTCCCTCCTTCATTTTTTGATATAATGGTGCACTTGCCGATTCATTTAGCTAATGAAGCTATGATTGCTGGATCTATTCAATATCGATGGATGTATCCAGTGGAGCGATGGCTATACTTTTTGAAATCTTTAGTTGGTAATAGGTCTTGCCCAGAAGGTTCTATCGCGGACGGATATTTGGCAACTGAATGTTTGACTCTATGCTCAAGGTATTTGCATACAATGGAAACAAAGTTTAATCGCCTTGAGCGGAATTATGATGGTGGTGTTATTGAATCTGATGGAGGTTTAACAATTTTTTGTCAACCTGGAAAAAAATTAAGATCTGGAGAATTAGACAAACTTAATCCAGATGAATTAGAGCAAGCACATATTTATATTTTGAAGAACTGTGATGAAATTCAATCATTTCTCGAGTAAGTATTGATTCGACATAATAATTCACATATACTTTATCCATGATTTCAATTAAAATGACTTTTTATTCTTTAATTTTTTGTAGAGAGTTTTCAGAAATTCCAGGTGATACCTCTCAAAAACATCCAGATAGGGAGTTCATTAGCTGGTTAAAAAAAAAAGATTAGTACTAGTTACATACTATTGTTATCTTTTTAAGCATAATTTTTTGCATAGTATTTGCTAATTAAATTATATAATTAATTTTGATAGGTTGTAGAATTGTACAAATGTGATAACAGTAAGAAAATGGACGATTTGCTCACTTTGCCACGTGGTCCCCTGCCATATGTGAGACTTCTCAAAGGTTACATTATTAATGGATATAGGTTTCATGTGGAAGACTATGACAGGGGTTTGAGAACTCAAAACTGCGGGGTGGTTGTAGTTGGTGAGACAGATGAAGAGAATAAAAATATTGATTATTATGGAGAACTCACTGAGATTCTTGAATTGCAATTTATTGGAGGAAAAAGAGTGATCTTGTTTAGATGTATGTGGTTTGATGTATATGACCAAGAAAAGGGGGTTAAAATGGATGAATATGGCTTTGTGAGTGTTAACCCTCACCGATTATTGAGAACTAATGAGCCGCTTGTATTAGCAAACCAAGCATATTTTTTGTGGATGGTCCTTCAAATAAAGGCTGGCATGTTGCAAGAAAAGTCACACCTCGTGATACTTTTGACATTTTGAAAGAAAAGGATGACAATTTGGAGAATTTGGATAATTCTGCACAAATGAAAAGGAAAAGAACTCATGAAGATATTTAACCTTTATAGTTGACGTTGTTAACATTTATTTCCTTAGGCCTCTTGCTTCTTGCTTTTCTAGGATAACTTGAACTGATAGTTAGTACATGTATCTAAGTAATCACTTGAGAGCTTGGTTTAACATAACAGTCTATACTCTATGATCTGATAGACCAATGTTTGTAGGGGAATAAGATTTTCATCAAAAAAAAATTTTCCAACAAAATATTGACCTTCTGAAATGAAGATGGGGGAGGTGTGGTGGATTATGCTCCATTTAGGACACTCTGCTAATACAAAAGATTTTTCTAGTGTCTTTGCAGTGACATGATGGATTTTATGGTGCAAGTTTCTGTTCTGTTTTAGTAATAAAAGTTTGTATATATATGTAGAAAGGGAAGTAGTTAATTTTGTTGAGGAATGATTGGCCTGATTTTCTTTCTTTGGTGAGTGAAATCCAAAGAAATACCCTAAGTGCTGTTGTCTAGAGAAAGTGCAGTTAAGTTTGTTTCGGAACTCCACAAAAGTATTTGAAGAACTTGGATAGGCTACAAATTTCCCGAAGTAAACAAATGAATAAGTTGTATTTTTCTTTTTCTTTTTTGAGTTTTGCATATAAATGGCTGAGTGAATTGCACTTGGTTGTATGATGATGACCATCATCAGTTATATAAGTGCTGGTAGAAACTCTTCAAAGCATCTTTTTCGTAACCTGGACTATGTGTATTAAGACATGAGAGTGCAGTTTCCTTCTTCTTCCTTTCTTAAATAAGACTACACTTCTTGGAAACAAAGAAACAAGTCCCCCCATCCCCCCACCCCACCCGCGATAGAATGAAGTGATTTTGTTATTAACCTCTTATTTAATTTGATTTTCTCTTATTTGGTTTGGGATGTGTCCAGTCTATCCCTTTGTAACTTTATCTAGTCAACTATTGCAGATTGGATCTTGCTGTCTTGAATTTTCGGTATTCTTATCTTGTTGAGCTTTTTCTCTATCTTTGGATCTGATAGGTGAATAATGGATACTTGGTGGAGATGTAGGACTAGTTTTGAGATTTGCTTTCATAACTCTGGCTTGAGCTAGGACAAATAAAGAAAGATCAGTGTTTTTAAAAGCGAAAAGAGCAAAAAACCGGCAAGGTCCATGTGACTAAAAGAGAAAAGCGAGAAATGAAGCACACGCTTAATACATATAAGTTCAGTACTATAATTATCTGAGAAATTAAACATGACATAAAATTTCCGAAGCATTTTATTGAACAGATCTTCTGTGAAGTAGAGTGTTGCAGATATGCCAAATGAAGTATACCAATAAATCTATGGGCTCGTGACAGGCTTCAGTGACCAACATGCATATTTCTACTAAGGTGTTGTAATAGTGAAGAGGAGAGAGAAGCGGAGAAGATGTTTTCCTTTTAATTGCATGTCTTAGATCTAGCTCAATTTTTTATCTGGGCAAAGGAAGGGGGAACCAGAGTTTGACTCTGCTAATAGATTAAAACATTATTGATGTCTAGTTAATCTGTGGTGCCAAATTCGCATTTGTTATGTATTTTTGTTATTGGGAGATGCATCTCTCAACTGAGTGTCATATGCAATACGGCATGAAGAACTGAGTGCATAGGAGTCTTGTCAGACTTCCAACGACCTGAGCCAATAAAGATGCATGAAGCTTTAAGGTACAGTAGACATAGCATAAGCAAAAATTTGATGATCATTGCAAGAACCCAGAACCAAGATGTTACTTTGAGTAACTAGGCCCTTGTCAATCCTGGAGGTTTAGGTGTTAGTAAAACAAGAGTTAAAGAAACCATCAATTTCCTTTAAAAGCTTCAAGAAAATCAGAATGAATGTAATAAAGGCCCATTAAACCTAAGGGTTTCTTTCAATGACAAAAACAAACTGTATGATGAAATATCAGTAAAAGGAGAAAAACACTCCAGCTGATATTGAGCAGAATAGGATAGCATCAGAATAAGATGCATGTATGTACTCAAGTTGTTGATATTCTTGAGTTCGTTTCATGTTAAATGCACCACGGGAACCCAACATTTTCAGGATTTCTAATTTATACCATAAAAACTTGAAAGCCTTAAGCACCAAACGAGATTCAAAAGACTGTTTCATATCAGCTTTTCTTTGAAGGACAAAACAAGATTTTATCACCCTTCCCCTCTTAATGATTTTTATCTTTCTCACCTAACCATTACTCCATACTTTTATCTTATTTTAGGTTCACATTAATCCATCAAAATTTCAGAAGACTGAAATGGGAGCAACTTCAAAGAATGTACATCATGCATATATTCAACCTGGTGATTTAGCAAGGGGAAGAGGACACAACTTTGGATCTTTGGGCTCTATAAAAACAAGTATTGGAAAGAGAACTTTGATTGGCGAAAGTAAAAATCACAACTCAACAGCCTTTGAGCAGAATAAGTTTGCATATACTAATAATCTTGTGCCCCCTGGTTTCCCTTCGATGGAAGACCATGCTCCACTCGCTCAAGACACTGAAGCGATGCAAGGTCTCTTAAGTTTTAAATTTTTTTTGTTTTGTTTCTTATTGGACTGGTATTGGTTTTATGTTAGACATAAATCAAAATTTGTAGAAACAGGAATAGCTTTGAAGAATGTAAATCTTGCGTTCATTCAACCTGCGGCTTTAGCAAGGGGACGAGGGCAAAGCTTTCGATCTTTGGGCTCTGCAAAAGTAAATTTTGGCAAGAAAAATCTGTATGCTGGGGCTTCTAAGAAAAATAAGCTAGCACATAATAGTATTAACCTTACGCCTCCTAGTTTTGATACGATGGAAGACGATATTCCCTTCACTCAAGAAGCTGAAATGATGCAAGGTCTCAAGTTTTAATTATTATTTTTTGTTTGTTATAAGACTGGAAGTTATTTTATGCTTTACTCAAATCAAATCTGCAGAAGTTGGAGCTACTTCGAAGAATGTACGAGACACTTACAATCAACTTGGTACTTTAGCAAGGGGACGCGGGCAAAACTATAGATCTGCGGGCTCGGATAAAGGAAGCGTTGGAAGGAGAAATCTGATCGGGGAAAGTAAAAATCACAACTCAGCAGCTTCTGAGCAGGATAAGCTAGCACATAATAATAATAATAATCTTATGCTTCCTAGTTTCAATCCGATGGAAGACGGTGTTTCCCTCGCTCAAGAAGATGAAATGATACAAGGTCTCAAGTTTAATATTTTTTTGTTTGTTATAAGATTGGAATTTATGTTACAAATTAAAATTTGCAGATCTATGTAAATCTGAAAACCCGAAAAAGGTGAGAGAAAAGAATAGGAATAAAGATGTTGCAGGAGTCAAACCTGGAGAAAAGATTAGAGTCAACTTTTACCACAATCGGGTTGTTGGGAAGCATCAAGCCTCATTTTCGAGACACTTGGGTATATTAGTTCGTGATCATAATATATGTCCGTTGCAAGTACATTCATGGAAGGACATCGGAGAAGATAAGCTGGAACACATATAGCGAGCTATTACGGTAAACATTTAAAGCACTACTAAAGCAATACTTTCTTGGTAGAATTGCCCTTTTCAGGAAAATTTGACGTGGGATATAATCTGGAAAATCACTCTTGAGAAAGAGAAGTTTAGCTGGTCATATTTAGCTGCACATCTTCTCTTTAAAATTTATTAATGAAGGCAATGTCCTGAGTTGGATGGCCAGGCCTGGTTTTAGCAAAAAGCACACATTCTGGCATGTTAATGCTCATTCCACGATCCAGCTATATCGCTAGAAACTGGGGGGAAAAAAGGAGACTAGAGTTCCTGTGAACTTAATCATGAAATGAAATTCAACTGGATTAGTTGACGTTTTTGAATCTTCAATCTGAGGGTATTCTATCTGAGTTAGTAAACAATGTCGCACATGTAAACTATTTTGTAGAGCTGTAGTTGTTATTCATATTTTTGGGAGGTCGAATTTTCAACGTAGTATGTTGGCTTCACTTTTGCTTTTGCTGGTGCAGTACAGGGACCGCAAGTGATTTTTCCTATCACCATTCTTCCACATAAATGAATCTCACCTGGTGTACTATATGCTCTCACTTTTGTGAAAGGGTATTCTTCAGTTGGAGAGATCAATGGGTAGTGCAGAGTTTCCATCATTGATTGCAACCTTTGTTTCAATTAGTAAGGAAACAGAGGGTTCCCACTCTGTTATACTTACTAATTGAAATTTCTAACCTTCACCACATCAAAATAACAACATTTTAACTTGGAAAACAAAGGAACAATTTTCTCTATACTTTGGTTTCCTCTTAATCTTTATTTTTAAGCTGGTTTGCATTTATAAGTTCTCTTTCACTGCATCCCTTGCCGGGATCACTTCTTGAATCTCTGTGTCTAACTTAGAGAGTGTGTTTCTGTGACTATAAAGTGTTATCTAATTAAGATGCTAGTTAGAATTTTTTTTAAAAACATCTCAAATATATATTTTCCTGAAGTAGATTCTTGCAAATGAGTATCTTAGAGATATCTGCCAATTACATTATTAATTGTGTGAAATAGTTGATGCTTTAAAAAGCTTCTTGACATTGAAGTGGGCCGCTCGAAAAACAGAACTCGGTGCTTCCCCTAATGATGTGTCGCAACACTAATAGAAGTGCACTTTGCTACATCTTATTAAACTTTCATGTTACCAATATATCTAGCTTTGGACTTTCCTTTTATACCGCATGAAAATATTTAAAGTGTTATAACAGATTTTTTTATTCTGTCAGAGATCTTTGTACTTTTGTGAACTTTGGTATCTCAAGTAGTAGAAGGCTCTCCTAGAATGGACAAGGACAGTGAGTTGTTTGGCTTAATTGCATGGGTTTGGGAACTCTAGCATCTAACATTGGAGTTATGTAGCTCTCACATTTTCTTGTCTCTATGCATACACAATTTTTTTCCTCTCTAAATGTAACCATTACAGAGGTTAGGTTGGTTGATGAAACTTAGAGATCTTAACTGAACCTAGTACGTATTCTAAACTTTGAATATGCCATAATGTGGAATACATTCATTTTTTTAGTTTACATGAAAATTTTTACTTTCTTGATTAATGATTTTGCAAAATATTTTAGGACAAATTTGACGACATGAATTATCAAAGAGATCATGTCTTAAACCATATGAGAAAGTTATGGACCAATTGGAGAGGATCATCGCATAGATATGTGAAGTTTAAGCCATTGCATGAAGCTCTAAAAGATGTCCCGCAGGAGGTAGACAAGAGTGATTGGGAATGGTTGGTCAAGGAACATTTTTTAAGTTAAAAATTTTAGGTAAGACTTCATAACTACTTTTAACTTCTTATTATTGTAAGTAACAGTTCATGATTTCAATGGTTTTTTCTTAATATAGGAAACAAGTATTAGAAACTCGATCAATAGGTCTAAGTTGAGAATGCCTCATCGTACGGGTAGCAAGCCGATTAGAGAAATTATTTACGAACTGGTAAGTGCACAGTGAAATCCTATAAAAAAAACCTCGTCTTTGTTTGACTTGTTTATCTAAATGTGAAGGGAGGCAAAGACGGTAATCCACCGAACATGGCAACTATCTTCTTTGAGACTCACAAGAAAAATGACGCGCTTGTAGAACCTGAAACTAGTAAAAAATATGTATGTTTATTGATGAACTTCATTTTACATCCTTCATTTTATTTTGATGTATTTTGTTATTTTAATTTTTTTGTATTTTATAGGCTGAGATACAAGAACTGATTCAATCTGAGCAGTCTTTTACGAATATCGAGGTAGCAGAAAGATGCTTCGGACCTCAATACAAGAATCACGTGGTTGGATTAGGGGGTGGTATAATCACTAAGGAGTTGAAAGGCGGTAGCTCCTCAAAGGCTGCAATACTTGCTGAGCTGAATGCAACTCGAAAAGAAAAAGAATCACTACAGACCGAGCTAAATGCAACTAAAAAAGCAAAAGAATCACTAGAAATACGTATGGACAACATAGATTCTAAGTATGAACATCTTATAAGCTTATTGGTTGATCAACCTTCATCGGCACTATCTTCAAGTCAACAAAGTACAAGCTGAAATTAATATTTAACAGGTTCGTAAGCTTTTTACCAACTATGACCTCATGAATATCCTTAAATAAATTTAGTGAAGTCTTTTGTTGTTAGTTAAATAAAGTATTGACCTTAACATATGTACAGTTACTCTAATATTGAAATCCAATTAGAAATGTGCATCTCAGATTCATTGTTTGAACGTATAACATTATTGAGATTTGAGGTCCAGATCAGTTTTCCGTTGCTTGCACAGATAGCCAAATCCTTTTTGCAAAATGTTGATCAATGTGCAGGTTATGATGATATGAAACTCCCTTCGTTGAGATTTTAATGTCATTTCTATTGCCTTTCCATTCTTGCTGCTCCATTCTTCATCCCAGTAGCTCTTGCATATGTAGGAAAAAATAGTTCTGCCCTGCATACTGTTGAGTAAGTTTACTGTACAGCAACGAACCAGTACACTATATTTGCGATCATTTTTGTGTGTCATCTCTCTGCTTCCCCTTGAAACCTTTGCATGTATTCCATATTGGTTTGGTGTAATAGCATGCTGCATCTATATTTTATCCCACTTTGTATCCAATGTGCCTGAATTGTATTGCCAAAGACTGCATAGCAAGTTTTCTGTCCAGTATTGTTGAGATTCTCTGTTACATCCGGTAGATGTATTTGAACAAATAAGGTAGATGAGGTAGTCTATTTATTTTTTTTCATATAACTTTGTATATATGTTAGCTATCTTTCTTTTATTTCTTTTTATTGGTGATTAGCCTACGTGTTAGCAATCTTTTGATATATTGAGCAATTCTTGCAGCATATTATATATGTCGTCACAGAACATTGAGCTTGCTTCTTTATATATTCCCTCTTTGCCTTCAACACATGTAGAATATTCTGAATAAACCTGAAATGCTTCTGTATAGATTGCGGATATACATTCCTCTCCTCTCACTTTTGCATAACATTAACAACCGAATGTTACCCGTAAAAAAGAAAATGTTAGTAATTGAATTTCTTTCACGTCTAAAATTCACTTGTATTCTGTGCTACATATTCCTTTTGAAGGATCCTTGTGTTTGTTATAGCAGAACATGGCATCAGATATGCTTCTAACTAAAAACTTCTACATGTAATTTTTGGTGTCTGTCGTATCTATCAGTGGCCGTTGTTAAAGATAATTAGTTTCTTCTAAGGTTCTTCCTAAACATGATTGTGCAAAAGGAGGGAACAATAATACTTTTTTGTATTGTATCATTTGCTCCCAATGTTGTGGCTATTATACTGTTGGCGAGCATTTGTAATACGTTTTATGATACGCTTAATGTTGGATTTAGTAATGTAGTTGTAAGAAGCACTGATTGTTCATAGTATTTTGAGATGCTCCTCACTTCGTGGTTTTAAATTTTACTGTGTGGTAGCAACTTACCAATCTTAAATCTTTTTTTCTTACTCAACTAATATAAACCTTTTTTAATAGATAAAGGGCCTGAAGTTTGAAGAATTTTCCATAAAGATAGTTCCGAGCAAGTTGAAGCAGCTAGAATTGTTGAAGAACGAGGGAAATCTATGTTGTTTTATTAGGAGTTGTAGTCGTTATCTGTACAAACTACTATTTTACTTTCTCTTTAATTTTTTTTTCTTTAACGAATTGAAAACAAGGATCA